TCATTCCATTACACACACAAAATATTTTTATTGAAAATGCAAGAGATCAAGAAGTCGAAACAGATTTTTGAACTGGAAATCTTCCCTCGAATATCGAATGCGCACGTACACATGACGTCACATGTCTCATGTGGAATTCCGGAAATATTATAACCGCGGTACGTAGAATCCATATAAAAATCGCTCTGTGAGCGGTTCTGAAAAACCTTTACTGGTACTGCCCCGTCGTAAAAGTAAGAAATTAGAACTGGCCCATTGTCCCCCCAAATGCGAACTGATCCACCTAAATCGCGAATGACGGGACCCGAACGCACCAGTAGCACGAGGTCGGGAGGGCACAGGATCACGGCAATTATCATAGGGTATACCAGTATTAGTAGTAGAATTTATTATTTTGATAGGGAAGCTTACCGCTAGTACAGTACATGGCCTATGGTCCGGACCAACGTCCCCATCTGCATCCACAGGTAGGAACCTCGTGCTACTGGTGCGTTCGGGTCCCGTCATTCGCGATTTAGGTGGATCAGTTCGCATTTGGGGGGACAATGGGCCAGTTCTAATTTCTTACTTTTACGACGGGGCAGTACCAGTAAAGGTTTTTCAGAACCGCTCACAGAGCGATTTTTATATGGATAATTTCAGCTCTTTTTCCGTTCCCTCCCCACCCCAACCCCGAAGGTAAACATGATGACCACGCACGCGATGTACTGTATGTAGCCATGCGACTGCAATAACACACTGATACATACCAGCCCTCCCCGCCTCGCTACCCCGCACATAGATACACAAACATGTGTATGCACACGGCACACACACGTGGCCACGCACACACACGCACATGCACACGACACAAACAGGAAATTCTTCATGTATAATGCCATGCAAAGCAGTGGCCACCGTACTTGAGGAAGTGAGTTGTGAAACAAAAATAATTCAACTACAGCGTGTAGACAAGCTGACGGCCAAAGCACAACATAGCAAACATGACATTTGCCCAAGGATTGCAGTTTACAGACCATGCCATGGAAGCAGCGAATACAGAATGTAATATCATACAAAGTGACAAGCAAGGACGTGGCCATCATACACCAGAAACTTGCAGAAAGTCACATATCCAACAGATAGAGAAGTGAACAGCAATCTGATACAGCCCACACAGGACAAAGCGGACCTGATACTCGTCCCAGGATCGCAAGTGGCAAACCCTTTTCAATGCATAACATGCAGGTGTACGTTAGACGCATGAACATCTGACCGTGTCGCCAGCATACAATGTCATCACATGTTTACCCCACAAGTTACACACATGCACAGTAGAAGCACAATAAAAGCAATGGAAAAGTACGATGTGGTTGCTGAAGCATCTTCACACTTCAAATTCAGACTTCAATGTGGTCGTCACGGGATGATATACCTGCAAGATACAAGTGATGAAGAAAGAAAGCAGAAGGTCGTGAGGTAGGCTATGAGACACCAAAAACGGTTCACCTACATGTCTGTTCAGGGCTAGTGCACTCACACGGAGAATTGTCATAATCGAGCATTTCCCAAACTGAGAAGTGCAATGAAATCCACTTGCATGCACAGGAGCAATTTTGCAATAATTATTATGATGCGCAATTCGACACGATCTGCGATGCTGCGTGCGATGTGCCCTGCTGTCATGATAGTGACAGTCACCGCGGTATGTTTTGTCAACGTCGCCCGTGCACTCTTCTGTCAAGTCCAAAGTGCTCACATACTTGGCAATGTTTTGCAGTGATTAACTTTTATCCTAGTTATGTCACGGGTAACTTTAATGAAGTACCCGCAGGCCGTGTCGATCTGCACATCGTCCACTCTCTCATGTACTTGGCCTGCTTTGTCTGTGTATCCATTTCATGTGCGATCCACAAAATCGACTAGACAGTGGGTGCAATACGCTCTCTACCTGAAGACGTTCTTCTGGCGACATCTCGCCATGTACTTGGCCTGGCTTTGTCTGTGTATCCATTTCATGTTCGATCAACAAAATCTCAATGCACTACAGAGACTAGACAGTGGGTGCAATACGCTCTCTATCTGAAGACGTGAACCATTAAATTTTTTGGAAAAGTTATACGTACACCTGAACCTAATGAAGTACAGGAATAGAGAGAGTGACTACAATACGCTCTCGACCTGATAATAGTGATAACGTGAGTACAAGACACTCTCCACCTGATAACGTGTTAGAAGGTAACATGTCTACAGTCCCACCGTACCCTTCCGACACGACTGTAGACCATTACATTTTTTGAGAAGTTATACGTACACCTTAAACGTAATGAAGTACAGGAATAGAGAGAGTGACTACAATACGCTCTCGACCTGATAACGTGAGTACAATACACTCTCCACCTGATAACGTGTTAGTAGAAGGTAACAGGTCTACAGTCCCACCGTACCCTTCATCATTCCTCATTCACCATCGCGCGATACCCTGGCACACACTGGCAACATATCAATGGGGTGCCTTACCGTCGTCTAGAGGAGACGTCTTCGCAGCAATATTTTCCCTCCTGCGCATTCAGTCGCCGACGCGACAGCGTTCACGGGGCCGTTCCAGTTGCGGAAGACATTCGATTCATCGGGCCAATTCAGAAACAGGGCCGTGGACACACAGGGGGCAGAGGAGAGACATTGTTAGTGGACAAGAAATATGCAGTGGCAAGTGGCGAGTGCCGCATGGATGTCAAGTTGTCATGCACAATTCAGCTATTACTTACGGTCCAGTTAGTCCTGCCATTGCTCGCTCGTCCTGGTTCCTCCTCGTTCGTCTTCCTGCACGTCTGCACTTCTCCTTCCCCACCGTTGGCTTTGCGGTACGGGGGTGCCGGAAGGAATTCCCACCATGTATCCATGTACATGAAGTCCCACCATGTCTCCATGTACATGTCCACGGCCACGTCAGCAGTTTGTACAGTACCGGAAGGAGTTCCCACGATGTCTCCAAAGGCCTAGAGCGGACGTCTTTGCAGCAATTCTTTTCGCCCTGCGCATTCAGTTCGCCGACGATGTCTCCAAAGGCAAAGGCCTAGAGCCTACAAGTAGTAGAGGGGACGTCTTTGCAGCAATTCTTTTCACCCTAGTACCCTGCACATTCACCCCGCCGACACGACAGCGTTTACGGGGCCGTTCCAGGTGCAAAAGGTCCACGTCAGCAGTTCTCAACTATTTCGCGTACGGGATAGTCGCCGCGACAGCGTTTAAGGGGTCGTTCCAGGTGCAAAAGGTATCCATCAATGGCACTTTGCAGTATGGGGTACGGAAAAGGGGCCTCCTCGTTCGACTTCGTCGACTTCTGCAGTTCTCCTTCCCGTCAGGGGTACCGAAAGGGGCCTCCTCGCAGTTGTCCTTGCCGTCAGGTCCACGTCATGCAGTTCTCAACTATTTCGCGTACGGGATAGTCGTCTTTGTCGTACGCGACATCGGCGTTTACCGAGTGGCATTGGCACAAAGCAGACCGTTGACGGGGTCACGTGTCAAAAAAGTATCAACAACGTGTCGACTACGTGTCGACCACGTGTATAGCGGTACACTCAGCGGTACACTAATTCTCGTGCCATTCTCGTGTCACAAAACTGGAACATCGAGTACCAGTATGGAAAGGCTTCAGACAGGAAGCCTTTCCAATCTACCGCGGCGCGCGGTGAACGCGCGTGGTGATTGATCGTGAGCGTGACGTCACACGCGGAGCTACCAAAAACTTTTGCACATTCGCTACTTTTTTTGAAGAAGAAGAAGATGAAGATAATGCAGCGACGACATGTCGACAATAGTCGCTGCTGTTGAGTGTCGTGGGTTGTTCTCCTCGTCATTTGCCTTAATTCTGTTGAGGGTTTAGTGGCAACTCAGATAGCATGAGGAGTCAATACGTATGACAGGATCGCTTTTCTAAATGTTCGCACCGGAGCAATAGAGCTGGATCCTCCCCAGCTGAGGATTTTAGGCAGGTGGAATTAGAAAGAATTCTGGGTGAATTCTGTATTGCGAATAAATGTGCAAGCTATTCGTACTATTCGTACAGGACACGGCTCTCCTTCGTTAGGGATCTGCTCCTCGACACGACTCAGGACGAACGAACGAAAGCACGTCACCAAGGCATCCAGGTCAGCGTGGTGTGGCATTGCTCCCGGGTGCACCCAATCCCATGCTCGGGGAGTTTGTCTGACAATCATAATCAACGAGAGTGTGTCACGTGATTTGCTGTGCACTATAGCCACGTCGTAGACAGGAACAGCCCGAGTGAAGCACTGGCGAGGGTATTGCACGTATACACGTGCTCGCCTTTCTATTCAGTGTGAGTATCCGGCGGATACTTGAAACATTGCCGCAGAGCACCGCCTAGTTCAGACCGCGCCGCAGAGATCTGGTTCAGAGCAGCCGCCGGGTGGAACAGGTGACCTGTAAAAATCACGCGTGTACATTGAATCCTGAGGTATGACATCATACTCATCCGTCAACCAGTCACCTGTCACACGGTTACAAACATACTAGCAGTGCTCCCTTTCCAGATTGGCGTAAGGTTATAATTTTTTATATTTTATTTTAAACCACGCACGCAATTCGTGAACGGCAGGAAAGCAGCAATGCTCCGTGTAGCAGTGACGGGCGGGGCTCTGCGCCGCTGCGCCTGCAGCAGCAGCTGCGGTGATGTCATGGCGGCGAGGTCGCCGTCAGGCGGTGTGAGTGCCTGTACTCGTACCCGGGCCGCCGGGCGTGTGTGTGGTGCCGGTCACGTGGCTGCACGGCAGCGGCACGGCGCGCTATCGACGCGTGGCCTGTGTACGTCGACAGGCGGCCATAGCGGTAGTGATGGCGGCGAGGGGTTGCTAGCTGACGATAGGACGGAGTACATGCGCACTCTGCTCACGCCCGACTGCTTCTCGCGCGAGGTTCTCATTCGCACCGGCGACGTCGAGCTAATCCAGCAGCTCGTCGTCACCGAACAACAAGATCTGAAACGCAGCAAGAACATTGGCGACCTGTTTTACAACATGGACGCCATCCTGGCAGTCAACTTTGATTGGCGGTTCCAGACTGAAGAGGATGCGCTGTGGGAGCAATTCTCGGCGCTACTCGGCGCCAAGTGGTCTCGCCTGGTTCGTTACGGCTACGATTCCAGCAAGGCATTGGCAATAAGCAGACGACTGGGTCAACTCGTACACGACCGACGCCGGCCTCCTGAACGGGTACGAACTCAGTGCCATGACATGTGTAATGCAGTGGTTTCTAGCACGTGTGTTAAAGGGGAAGTTAAGGCAAAAATAAAAAGTTCACCAGTTGTAATCAGGGGCGTCACAGGGTTGCTGGGAGTGGTACGACCGGGGGTGTCCCCCGGAGAAAAAAATAAGGATTTTTCGGCTAACAGGCCACGTTTTAGCACTCTACAGTCGCAAAGGAGGGTTCCCCTAGCACTTATTAGACAACCCCACTCCAGCTCCAAAAACATACTTCTCATGGATTTTTGGTATTTTCTGTACATCGTAGGTAGCCAAGCAAGGCAAATGGAACCCATTCAATGATTCAGGGCCATTGCCCTCGAAAAAATCGCAAAATCCGAAGTACAAGTGTGCTGCGCGTTCTAGCGCCAGCGGCTATGCAAAAACGTATGTCGTGTCCTGCAAAAGTCTGCCGCGTCGCGTACACTATGTACACAACCGGCCTGGACAGTCCCGAAGTAATTATTTTAGTTGTTTTTAGAGAGAGAAGAAGATCTTTTGTTTTTGTTCGGTGCAGGGAATTTTCTAGAACCGCCCCAACCGGTTTTCGACCGGTTGAAATTGTTGGCGACCGGTTGAAAAGTTACAAATCAGTTCCAACCGCCCGTACTTTTCTGTGGGTGAATGGAGCTGCTTATATCTTTGCTACACTCCAGCACCAAGAAATCTGTTAAATTGCTGTCGTGTGCCATATTTGGGTTGTAATTTGAAAATGTTTCCGGGGGGACCCCTGGACTCTTCATTGAAGCGTAACCGGTTGGAAATTCGTCCTAGAATATACCCTGCCGGGTGGGATTAAAAAATCTGCCAGTGGACCGGAGAGCTACAACAATGGAAGCAGAAGAAAGCGCTTGCGGAATCTTCTCTGTCTTCGTGGCAACAGGACTTTAGTTTGCGAGAGACTTTCGTCCTGTCGTCGCGGACGAAATTCTTGTTGCTGCTACCAGAAAACTCGGGGAACGAAACGATCGTAAATCGTTATAATATAGGTGAAGGGGGTCGTGTCGGTGAACAGCTGCAGAATATTCTGCCGCCGTGGAGCAGGAGTCCAAACACTTTTCAGCTTCGGAGAATGAAGCGCTTCCTTTTTCCGTTGACAAGCGCTGCGTTCGCGGGTGTAATGCATTTTCGAATCCGCTTGCAGTAGATCGTCAGGAGCCAGAGGTACTAGGTAGGTGTCGTTGTGGAAAGAATATAATTATTATGTTGTAGCTGACAAGTGACATACATACATGTAGTGTCTCTTGACGTGCTGATCACCATTGTTACATGGTAGAGCTTGGAAAATTTTAGTTCTGGACCCAGTGATCGCCGCCAGCTCAGCTCTGTTTCCGTCAAGTTTGCAGTGAATGCGTCCGTGAGGAATCCATCGTCTGGTTGCCTCTAACCGTGACTCCAACCGCCTATCGTAATGGATAGCCGCCTGGAGTCTTGGGCAATAGCTAGCTGCTAGTGCTAGGCATCAAGTCTGTATGCTCCTTGCAATGAAAGTAACAGTTGCGATGTTTTGTACAAGTCCGAAGATCCTTGAATTTTTTTATTGCTTTTTCGGATGAATTGGGTGGACCATCCTGGACGAAAAGTGGTACGACCATGGTCGTAGTGGTCGTACCGTGTGTGACGCCCCTGTGTAGTCTTCGGGGTGCTGAGTCGAATGGTCGTGGTCCGAGGAAGCTGAGACGCTCCCTTCCTACTTGAATCCCAATCGAACTCGCGCACTTCCACCGAAACTGGGTGACTGCGCCCTACTAGATGGGGATTTGTATGCAAAATGTCACTAAAAGCGCCATGTCGTTCTTAAAAAAGCACGGATGACCGCGATTGGCCCATATGTTGTAGTCTTTTGGACGCTGAGTCGACTGGTTTTGGTCCGAAAAGGCTGCGATGCAGCGTTCGGCCCTTATTCCCAATCGAACATGCTTCAGAACAAGCCGCTTGTCACGTGCTCCTGTGTACACCAGTCACCTGGTCACCGTGCCTGCAGAGTACGACTTACAGCCTGTTTTGACCTTTTTGGGTGCAGTCTTGTCACTCGAGTTGAACCTTGGTGTGAAAGTTGTCGCCTGCTGGCGCTGTGACCAGGTGACTTGGGCACGCAGGGGCACGTGACCGCTTGTTCAACCATGTTCGATTGGGAATAAAGGAAGAACGCTGCATTGCAGTTTTCTCGGACCAAAACCAGTCGTCTCAGTGTCCAAAGACTACAACATATGGGCCAATTGCGGTCATCCGTGCTTTTATAAGAACGAAATGGCGCTTTTAGTGACATTTTGCATACAAATCCCCATCTAGTAGGGCGCAGTCACCCAGTTTCGGTGGAAGTGCGCGAGTTCGATTGGGATTAAAGTAGGAAGGGAACGTCCCAGCTTCCTCGGATCACGACCATTCGACTCAGCACCCCGAAGACTACAACTGGTGTAATTTTGATTTTAGCCTTAACTTCCCCTAACCCTTTGAGGGTCCATCGTTCGGGTGAAAATATGCAATGGACTACTTACCATTTGTACAGATCCACGAAATCCCGTAGAATCCCGTAGACCCGGAAGGGTGTTTAATGTGTGCTATGCATGCGCATTTGACCAATTTCCGCGTCGTAATTCAATGACCAGCAATCGCTTTTCCAGCTTCTTCACTTTGGTTAGAACTACCGTATTTCCGCGCATATAAGCCCATGGGCTTATATGTGAAACAATGCAGCTTGGAACTAAATATTGC